TACTTGATCAGTGCATTAGTTCTGCTCAATGTCATGAGGTGTTTGTTCATCACCGAAAATGGTCACTAATCCAAGATGCATTTGAAACAGTTAGTAAATTAACCAGAAGGTGGCGTACACATGCTCCAGATTCTCACTCCTGATCCTGGTGAAGAAAACATAAAGACATTTAATACACCTGCTCTACAGCCTCCTATATAAAGTCAAGCAGGAATCGTTGCATTACTTTCACTGTTTATTATTTCGTGTACTTTATAAACTCTAAGACACTGGTTGATTTCACTATTTTCTTTTTATTTGCAGTTTTGCTGAAGAAGAAGACGACTCACAGTTTAAAGCTCTGGAAGTTCTGATGCTTGATGACAACAAACTTTCCTCTGGAGTCTTCAACAGTCTCAGAAAGCTGAAAAGGTCATTATGTGGGTTTATATTTAATATTATATGTTAAACAAATATTATTTAAATCGACATTGCACCAAGTCGCAGCTTAAACCTTAAGCCTGTAAAATCAGTTACAGTGTTTAATATCATCTAATGACATAATTTGAGTGGATTTGTCCTGAAAGCCAATATTCTTGTTTTGGGAATCGTAGGAGCCAGTGTTTATTTATATATTGATTTGTTCATGTCACAACAAAAGCAGAGGCACAGGTTTGCAGGAATATATATAATTTGTCTATTCTTCTTTTCTATTCATCTATTGCAATGGAAATACATGACGAAATATCTGGAGAAGCATTTCAAAAATATTAATTTGTTTTTTAATTGTCACTTACAGGTTAAAGTACTTGAATTTACAGGGGAACCACATATCTGAAATACCATTTTTGCAGCCAATGGGGTCTTTGGAACCTGCATCCATTTCTGAAAAGGAACCTGGCAATAAAATCTCACAGGTAATTCATTCTGCAGTTGGTGTTTGAGATGTTTCATCATCGTCATGTTTTTATAGCCTGCATTTAAAGCCTGTGTGTGGTCTTTCATAAGGAAAACCTGGAGGAGCTCTGCAAAGGATCCAATTTGCCACTACCAGAGCTTCAGTTCCTCAATTTATCTCACAACAAAGTGAGGCTCATATAAAATCACTCCACAATTGCAAAAAGAAATATTTAATATGCCTCATCAGTGTTTTGTCGTCAGATTGCAGAGGAGGAAGCCCTGATGGTCGCTGCTTTTTTCCCTATGCTTCGTGAAATCGATATTCACTCTAACCCTCTGACCACAAACAGAAGCGGTAATTCTCTCCTATCAACAAATCTATCTTAAAAGAAGTTTGATTCTGATTTTAGATCGCTAAAAATCTCTTTGTCTGAACACAGGAGACCCTCCCTTACTGACCTACTACCTCCAGGAGAGATTGGGGATAACAATAAAGCGTAAAGAGACACGAGAAGTTCTGAGGGCGCCACTGAAAGTGTCCACTGATCCAAAATGGAAGGTTGGTCATGTCCTACATGGGACATATTGTCTAAATCCCAATATAAAAGTTGAACAGTTATTTTAAAATGCATCTTTTCTGACATTCTCATATCGCAGGTGGAAGAAAGAATCCCAAAGGTGTCAAAGAAACGCTTGTTGATGGACCAGGAAACTGTTAAGAAAACCCCAGAGTGTGATGGGAAGAACAACGAAGACGGCCCCTTCACAGAAAACACGGATAACTTCTTTGTCACTCAGGTATGAACATGTCCGGTGTCCTTGATTTTCATATTGCTCCTGTTGGTTCTGAAATATAAATTCTATACCAATGCATGTTAGAGAAGCGCCTTCACAATTCCGTCTTTTATATTGCCATTGAAATCTGACATAAACCTAGAAACAGTCAAACCAAAAACCACAACAATGATTGAAAAAACACGATAAAACAAAATCCAGATGAACCAGGTCCAGAAGGGGAAGGACGGAAAGCAAGAGAGAGAAAGATAGAGAGAAAGGGGGGGGGGGGGGTCCTCTCAATTCAGTAAGTCTTAGAGATCCTCCGTTTGATTGTTTCTTCTCTCGCACGCAATAGCGAGCTCAAGATAAATGACTTTTATAACAGTGAGCACCCATTGTCACAGAGTATGTGTGTTCCGGGGTTTCCACTTTCTTTGTGTCTTTGCTGGATGTTATCTCAAAATCAGGCTGCAGACGTTTCTAAATCTGATGAACAAGAGACGGCAGAGAACGAGGACGCCACTGTTCCTGAAAAATTCCACCATTACCAAAGGTTGATGGACGTGAAACCACACCCTGGTGTAGTGGAGCCCATTGGTGAGGCCTGTATGGTTTCACCTGCAGCTGTTTATTTTCTGTACATGTTCATCAAGCCCTGAGGGGGTTGACTATACAATGGCTCCACAGTGAAGAGGAAGATTCATGCTTTTTTTTCTGTCAACAGGAATTCAAACAGCTGTTCGGATGCTGGAACACACACTGAAGACTCTCAATGTTTACAGAGACTCAAAACCAAAATCTGATAGCATCCAGATGCCACACAGAGAGACGGAGAGAAAGGTTTGATATCTGTGCTTCACATAATTCCCTTTGAATTAATGTTACTGTCAAATTGTAACAACAACTGTAAATAACGAGGAGATGTTTGGAAACATTTCTGTACACAGATAAAAGATCTTCCACCTTTGAAACCAGCGAAGCAGCCAGCTGAAAGGGTGGAGGACATGCTGAAGGAAATCAGAGAGAGTACAACGATAAGAGAATTCGCCTTGAGTAAGAAAATATCTGACGGATCCCCTGAGTTGACCTTTAATGAACCGACACATTCGGTCTTTATGTTTATGGCTCTGTGCCAGCGATAGCTCGAGGCCGGAGGGTTGTTCGTCTGTCTCACTTTTCTGAACCTGAGGGAATTTCTTCAAATCTGGTCCAAAGTTCATTGAAACACGAGGATGAATCTATAAGATTTTGGTGGTCACGGTCAAGGTCGCTGTGACCTCTCAAAGCAATTTTATGCTTTGTGAACACAACATCTCAGAAACACCTCCAGGGAATAATTTCAAGATTGGTACAAATCTTCCCTTTGACACATGGATGAACAAATTAGAATTTGGTGGTCGAAAGTCAAGGTCACAACACATATGTTTAGCCTTCTGAACATAAGATGTTAAGATCTACATCTTGACTGAAATTGCACTTGTTGGAGGGGGCATGCAACCGCAGGAAGGTCATTTTCATTTTTCTCCACACAGGCGAGGCCATACACAGCACACGTGTTAACAGGCAAGAACAAAAGGAAGTTTTATCGCTGCTGAGGGACATGAAGACAAAATACAAGATGCTGCACAAGAAAAGCATTGAACAAGTAGCCAGCGTTGAGTCTGACAGAAACACAGACCTTCATGAAGCTCCACCTCCGCCTGGTCAGACGTTCTAATTCACATTCAAAACTTCCTTCTATGCTGATGTTGGTGTAGACCTGGTGTGTGAGGACCTGAAATCTCTGTTTCCATCTCATTAATACTGTGACAGGCATGTAGAGATGGCTTTGAGCAGCTGCAACTGTTACCAGGTCGATTCTCCCTCACTGCTGTATCCGTGCAACAGAGCTCAAGTTGGACATGACCTTTCTTTTTACATGTGTACCTTTATCTGTTCAGCTGAGTTGACATCTCATTGCTTGCCTGTGCCGTTACATCTTTGAAAAATGGTTTGTCCCTGAAGCACGATGAAAGGAAGCATTTATCGGCTGCACTTGAAGGACCCCTCGAAATATGGCAGTTTAGTTGCATCACTGTGATGCAATCGGTCTTAAAATGCTGCCTCTCGAAGGACGCAGCCCCTGAACTGAGACACAGCGTAGGTGTCATTTAATTCATTTCCTTCTACTTTTGACAAACGTACGACAGAATTGTGAAGATCCATTGAATAGCACTGTGAAATCCACAAGTGTTTATTTAGGTTTGGGTCAATATGTACTGGAAAAGGAAACTTGGCATTAGTTCCATCTTCTGCAAGAACGAAACACATGAGAGAAGCTGCAGCCCAGCAGGTTACAGCAGTAGTGGCTATAAGCGGGTGAAGTCAGTAGTAAGACCTCGTAGTTATCTGAAATACTGCACAGTATCCTCCAGGGACACGGTTTACGTTTTGTTGTGATGTTGACTTTTTAACCTAAAGCTGAGGATGTGGTTCTATGTATGGTTTCTTACTATGTGAAATGTTGTTAAGCCATCTGGAGAATATCTATACTGCAAGTTAAAGGTAATCAGTAGATTTACTATCTCATATCTCCTGGTTTGTTTATAGATATTTGGCTTTATAGGTATCAGACATATATGATTGTATGAATACAGTGTTACACTTCAGTGAAGCTGTTCGGTCATTATTTCATTTCCATCAGGAACCAGAGTAGAGTCAGCGTCGAGCAGTTGTTTATTTGCAAACAGACCTCTTTAGCTCAGTCAGATTTACAGCTCATGTGTCTTGTTACAGCACTAGTCGATATGTTATACATGACATTCCAACAAGCTCGATGTTTCTTTTTTCATTTGGAGTCATGTTTCTTTGTTTGTTTTCCTTGTTCATTCCTCTTTTGATTTCATGCTTTGTTCCTTCATATGATTCCAATTATTTGTCTTCGGAGCCGCTCGCAGATGTGGAATGCGAGTTCAGCCCAGGTGAAATAAATCAATAGGTGCTGTGAAGATGCTGTCATGCAGAGTTCGACTTTATTACATTCATCTGTGAATATTTCCCTGCTTCTGTATCTGTTACATGCTAAATAAAATATGCATTACGTATTGTATAAAGTCACCTGATAGAATATGTGCGCTGTCATCCTGTGACGTATTTCATGTTTTATTTTGAAATAATGAAAAATGTAATTTTCATTTAATTTCAGATGTCATGTAAACCGCAATATTCATTTATTATCTAAATATTTTCAGATATATTACCTTTGAAATTTGTTTCAAAGCTAATTCTAATTTATATATATTAATATATATGTTGAGAAGGCTATTTCTTATTGACACTGAAGACCCAATATTGAATATTTTGTGTAGAATTATTAAAATAACCAAGCAAAATTAAAGTAGTTATTTGTATAATGACACAAATGAAGCTTTAATTTGGTTGTAATGTAATTTGAAAATATCTGATATCAGAATATCCAAAAGAACAAATAAGCATAAAGTCACGGCAACATAAAGAGGTCGTTCGCTCTGGTGAAGACAATCAGGTCCTGAGAACTCTCACTTGACAAACACCTGGCCGTCAGTGTCTCTGTTTTTTCTGTTAACCACCATACTTTTACTGCTCTACCCAGACTCTAGTGAAACCCAAGTAAAGGCCTTCAGAGAATTTAGTTGTTGCTTTCAGAAACATGTTGGAGGCTGTTCTCCAGCCAGTGAGTCCTGGTATCAATTAACTTCTGACAAGAAAGCTGCTTTCAAAGCTGTGATTGTGAAGTGATAATGATTCGTACTTAAAGCACTCACACGTTGCATGAGTGCAGCGTTTTCATGCTGGGAATAGACCCACCTAATGTTGTGAAAGAGTTTGTTGTACATGTTGGTTTTTCCACTAACAATGATCAGTCAGAGTAACCACTAATGTAATCCATGCAGACAGAAGGCACTCACTGACCTCATCTCTAACCTCTTTTATACAGACTGTTCAAGGCGGGAATGTGACCTCACAAGACTCTTGAGTACCGAATCAGAAACAGCTATTTCTCACATGCCAATGTTCATAATATGAGAATAAGTGAACATTGTAACTTATATCAACATTTGAGATAAACCACGTCTCCGCAAATCAGCACCATAAACCAATAAAGTCCCCTTAGCCCCCAGTTCCTACCTTGCTTAACCTTTGTAATCCTTTTTAATTCCTTTCTACCAGCATCAGTCCTCATCACACACTCTCACCACCTTTCTCTTCAAATGGGGTCAGAATTGTAAAAACAAAGGCAATGGACACTTTCATAATTCCCTTATGATTCTGATAAGATGATGTGTAGGCTGCGTTATCAAATGCATCAATCTGTCAGCAACATAGACGCTACTATTTATACAGGAGGCGACATTACTGTTCCCAAAAGATAAGCCAAAGCATCTTAATAGCCACCTGGTGGCTGGCTGCAGTATGGGTCATAAAACCTGCCTTCTCCATGTTAGCGGATAAAGCACAAAAAATGTTTTTCTTCTGTTATATTATGTTGTTTCAGTTAGTTGGTTTTAATAAGCTATTTCATGCTATAGAAACATAGTGAAACCTCACGTTTGACAGCTGAGATTGACTCGCTATTTGTTGAGTGATTGTATCGGTGGGACCTCGTTACCGTAGCTGACTCTGGCTCCAAATGAGCAACATGGCAGCGTTCGCATTCAGGGTATTTTAGCTCCACTTCGGGATAGTGGGAGGAAGTGGAGATGCATCGTCCATTTTTATATACAGTCCGTGGTCAGCACAGAAGATTTTAATTTACTTTATATATGTGACAATGACAATTGTACAGCTGTCAGTCAGATGTGTAACAGAATCCATTAGACATCTTTAATATTTAATGTTACGGTGTGATGAACAATCATCTTCATCAAGAGCAAAACACCATCATCAAAAATCGTTTCATTTTGTGTCGTACATAAAGTGATAGAGAGATTTTTTTTTTTTAAATCCTGACTTTTAGTCCCTACAGTTCAACTTTTGAGAACATGTGAAACTTCTGGATTTTCCCACAATGCAGCCAGATAGTGTCTCTCATCAGAACCTCCCTGTCTGGTACATGTTGTATTAACACTCCACACCCCAGGTCTGTAACACAAGCTGTCTGTTATGAATTTGTCAAATCTAAGACCAGGGTAACCCTGATGACATCACTATGGCATCATCCATGTCTTTTTTCACCACAGGACACATGATGCTGTTATATCTGCTGGGATAAGTTAGATAACAGTATTCCATACAGCCAGTAGACTAAACTTTGTGTGTGAAATTGTTTTTGTTGTATGTCTTCGTCTGCTTTTGAAACATCACTACAAACCCTTTGCTTTCTGTCCTGCTGATCCTGTTGATTTACACTTACTGACCTCATGGAGGCGTGCATGTTAAAAGTGAAAACAATCCACTAATGTGACGAGTCACCTTTACTCTGAGCATAATTACACAGTTGACACACAAAAGCCCAAAGCTACAGTTACTTCATGTTTCAGAGTGAAGCCAATAGAAAGCCATGTCTCTTTAATATTTTTATTGGACCCATTGATATGAACACAGAATAAACAGACAAACAAAAAGGCTCTGTTGTGCTTTTCCTCTTTAACCTCCTTTGCTCTTGCCATGAAAAACTGATGAGGTGAGTTATTAACTGAAAACACATTTTATCCGTGCTCTCTGTGATATAACAGAATCTGGCAGAGGAGCCGGACACTGAGTCCAAAAGCAAAAATAACAAAAGACAGGATGGAGAAAAGCATCCATGGACTATGTCAGACCTGTGTAAGACAGGTTCGTTGTTTATGTTTATGTTTTTTATCATGTATATTTGAAGGTGGTGCGTGTTCACATCTGGAGCATTCATCACAGAAATCAAGCCTGAGAAATGTTTGGGTAAGATTTGTTTGACTCTCGCATTGAGGGCCAACAGTTAAGCTTTGAGAATAACCCTGTGGAGATTCAGACACCAGATTTGGCTCAGGAAGAACAGGCCTGAATACCTCATGAACACTCCTCATTACTCCAGTGCCAAATGAGTTCACTGCAGACTGGACCTATTCATTATTTCTATTGATGGACAATTGAACTGTAACACAATTATCATGTAATCCTGGACAGGCCCTCGGATACTCTGGCTGACATCTGAAACGAGGTCATTATTAATAATTACAGATTCTTGCTGTTAAGTTGTTGCAGGTCTTATTTTATTCTGCAAAACAAACACCTCGCTGTGTTCTGGCGTTAATAGTTTACGGTCGTCACAAGCGAGTGTTTCAAATTTTCACCTCTCATCCGAGCCGCTCGGGATGAGGGGATGAAGACCAAAGTGCTCATGACACGTACCCCCGGTATTGTCCATGTTTTCCTGGCGAAGGGCCAGTGGCCGGCTAAAGTGATCAGGGCCAACTTAATTAATGAGAGGGCGAGGGTGTAAAAAAACAGAGCCTTTGATAGATTGTGGAAGCATTTTGATGAAGTATAAACTCAGGGGTTCCGCCGAGCACCTTAATCAGCTATGAAAGCAAACACGTCTATCAGACTTAATTAACTTAACACAACTTGGCTCGCTTTGAACCAAAAGGCTGCCTGATTGATTTGCAATGCTTCAGTTGTTCACAAACATTGTACACATGTGTGAGGAACCTCTTGCTGCAGCCGATGAGGGTAGTCGGTTCAGTCTGTAGAAATCAGTTCAGCTCAAAAAGACTTCGATCACTGGAAAGCTGCAGAAACTGAATCTTATTCATTCCAGAGTCTTTTCTGCAGCATGCATGAATTGAATCTGTATCTTCAAATGTGGAATATGTGTGAGTGTTTAACTAGAGTTGCTGCAGACGGTCCCAAGATTTTCATAAATTCAAATTTTCGAATTGTGCTAAATGTGTTTTTGAAAATGAGCAAAAAGAAGTAAATGACATTTCACTGTGTTTTTTTTTATAACTCTGTAATTATTTGACTAAATTAACACACAGATGACGAGGATGCTCTGTTCAGTCTTTAGAAATAAACTTGGAAAGCCTGTGTGATTTTGGAAAAGCAACAAAAACAACCATTTCAAGGTCTTTTCTGCTTTTCCCTGACCCTGTCACAAAGAAAGTGACATGCAGAGGAGGGGAACAAGCAAAAGAGAGTTGTTAATATCATAATAATGGCTGAGACGTGCTTCCCATCCTGAGCTGAGTTTTGACCCTTTGACATTTTCTTCACTTCTGAGTGAATCTGGGCTACACTGGCAGCAGGGTGGAGTACACATGCACAGAGAGCTGAGCGGCTGCATGATTTATACCCACTGACTGCCCCCAGCTGTTACAATTGCCAGAGCCAAGAGTAAGCATGCATAGCTGAATTGGCCCGTGAGACGAATTTTAAAATGTGGACAGAGAGGAAATTCCTTTCGAAAAGAGACAAATATTAAACCATGGACATCCAGATACACATTGTTAGTTGAAAATAAAACCCTGAACATTTAATATCCATCATTTAATGACCTGCATGGGAAAAGGACAACGTGGAAATGTTAATCACTAATTTATGTTGGCAGCAGGGAAGAAGAACACCCCTCCTTCTCGCCCTTTTGAACGGCCACTTTGGACAACTAAGGTTGTTGTAAACTGTCAGGTCCAGCATATTTGTGTGAGTAATGAAGGCGTGAAGAGGGGAAGTACATTTGTTTCAAAATATTGTTTCATGCCCTTGGTGAGAGACGGACAGAGCCGTCTGGCTGCAAAGTGTGTAAGAAACACAATGAGTCATTGTGGACGGGAGGGGACGGAGGGAGCACGTCGGGAGTTCACAGAGGAGGGAAGCTATGTTGCTCTGAAGCTCGCGCTCGGTCCACCAGATCTGCAGTTGCACACCGACTGAGTCATGGGAACCACAGTGATAATTTGACACCTGTTGATCAAACAGGCCTGCGGACAGAAACGCCAACAAACTTTTCCACAAGCAGGTTATTTGACTACTGGGATGTTATTTGAAAGTATAAATGTGTTTTTAGTGAAACCTAACCACTTAATAAGTATGATTCAGGCTGCTTCCTTTTCTCTTACGTTTTGGAAATACAGATGTTGCTGAGTTTCTTGGCCTAGTTTTAGATCCATCAGCAGAAATGGTACCACAGCAAGTCAAACAATAGAAGATGTGTTTTTCATCATGTTGTGATCTGGAGAATATGCAATGGAACCTCCAACAAACACATATTTGCAAATTGCCCATCCATTTTTGCAATTAATAGCATTTTGGGGAATAATTGGACATCCCTCAATGTAATTTTGGCCACTTGGGGGGCAACAGAAACAAGTTACATACACAACACAAGTTGCCAGTCACACATCCAGAAGATACAGATTGTCATTAATCTGGAGACGTCTGTCTGAACCCTCTAGTGAATCTAAGTCCAATATTCTCTCTCTTTTAGCTCTTTGTTTGGTCTCCACCAACTCCCGAGGCAAATATCTGGCTCTTGAGCTGCTAGCTAGTAGCTAACTTTGCTATTTGATGCTTGTGGGTAATGCACAGTGAGTTTTTAGAACTTTTTTCTAGGACTTCTGCTACTGTGGATAAAAACACTACAGAGCTCCACAGGGCTGATAAGAACAACAGGGTCGGGTTGTAATTCTGTGAATTCATCACTTTGACAAAGACCTTTCACATACATGTAATTCTATGTTATTGTGAATATATTGATAATAGCAGCTTTAACATTGGCCGACCAACATTCTAACCCTGAGGTTCTCCATAGTTTGATGGGTAATTCGAGTCAGTGAATTAAAAAAAACATGTATATATATATATATATATATATATATATATAGCAAAATATTAGATTTACCTTGACAATACAACCGGCCAACGCTTTACATAACGTGCCAGTTAAATGAGGCTGTTGCTGTTTTGCAACTTGAAGAGGCACAGAAAAGGAAGTGGACAGCACTAATTCGCCAATGCAAATACAATTTTTTTTGTTTCTTGCAATATTTCAAAAGCTTCAACTGCTCCTACATGCCATCCTGAATAATTTACAACCTTGTGGAATAATAAAATCACTTAAAGACCAGCTGCTACAGGGCAGTAAAACTCTCACGTTTTGTGAGTGAAAAACTGAGGGCGAGACAGTGGAAACCCGTCGCATGGACGTGGAGTCTGATTATTGGATACCTGATAACAAATAAGACATTTTGGGGGAAATATTGGTGCTGGGCAAACATTAAGTGTGTGTGTGTGTGTGTGTGTGTTTGTGTGTTTGGGAGGTTGAAGGGAATTTCAACTTCTGCTTTTGATTTTCACGTCTCTGATAACATTTCATCTCCAGCGGGAACACAGTTTATCCGGCCTTCCGGAGCTCCATTAACTGAAGCCTTGGGGCAGTGACGGCGTCCGCTGTTGCCTGGCATGCGGATCAGAGATGAATCAGCATAATTTTTATACAATGCTTTGAAAACAACTGTGCACTCCGAGCCACATCTTAAACTTGTTTCAAACACATATTCTCACTGTCGTACAAGGACTGACTGTGCAAATGATTCCAATACACGCAACATTTAAACATGAAAGCTACAGCCAGAAATAAATCAGACAAAAGCTGCTGACTGGTGTAAAACACTGAGAACACTTTATGGGTTAAAACTGTGAGCAGGGGTACAGAGTGAATTCAGCTACATCAACAATGGCCACTTAAAATCAAAATAGTTCTGGTATGTGGAGCTGTAAAATGTCATTAGGCTGTGATCAACTCACTGTTTAGATAAAACTGTGCATTTACCACAATGCAATGCCTCTTGCTACTTTATGCAAAGGTGAAAAACAACAACATTCAACCAGACAAAAGTACTGTATATACAGAAATCATAACAGAACCAATACGCTTTAAATAAGGTGCCAAAAAACCCTCAATATTTACAATAAATACAGTATGTTGATCATACATACTTTTATAAACCCTTCACATTCTTATCAGAACATGGCAGCTTGCCCAGCATATTCTGAAATACAAATTGAATTTATATATTTAGGGTTTGTTTGAAAAATCCCAAAATGTCCTAAAAGGCTCTAACGACAGACTCAGAGCTGGAGACAGAGGCTGTCTCCACGTTCACTTCACCTTTTGTTTCATTTTGTCACCACAATACATTAATGTTTGAATTATTACAGGTGGAGGCAGAACTGTATCTCAGACAGGCGTCAACCACACAGCTGTAGCCTGTGTTTTATATGAGTATTAGGGCCATTTAAAGGGAAACATTTTCGAGATTTCAAGAGTAAAATCGTCAAATTACAAGAATGAGGTCATAATATTATGAGAATAAAGCCACATTAATATGATATATCAAAATATTAAGAGAAATATTATGAGAAAAAAATTTAATTTTACAAGAATCAAGTTGTAATCTTACACTAAATGTCAAAGAAGTGGAATATCAGAAGATCAGTCTGTGCTAACATGAAGAATGAGGAGAATTTAGTTAAGTTACAAAAAGATTCATTTTTTTCTTATAATCATAACTTTTTTCTCATTAAATTAAGATGTAATTCTCATAATATTACAACGTTCCTCTGATTTACAACTTAATTCACAACATTACGACATAATTCTGGAGATTTCTGAATTCTGCAATACGCATAGTTTTGCAACCTTATAATTAACAAATGCAAATACGCGATGGTTAAAACATGATGCACAATGATGTCTGAATTAACTGATGAGCAACAATATCATAAATGAGACACTCCACCATTACAATAGGAATGATGCAGGATCCGAGTGCAACATGCATGACAGGAAGTATGTATATCAGCCATGTGCTTATGTGGAGCATCGATATAAAGAGTTAGGGTGAACACAGGCCTTCGGTCTGATCGGGGTTTATGAACGTCATCACCTCCCGAATCCCGTCTTTACATATTGTGGTCTGAGGAGCTTTCGTCAGGTTTCCTTCCTCCTCCTTAAATTTCCTCCATGTGTCTGAAAAATGAATCAATAACATAAAAAACAATCGCATTGACAACAATCCAACAAACATACACATGCATCATGAAATCCTTTTTCAACAAACCATCATCGAGGGACGTGAGCATTGTGTAATTTTCTGGATGATCCATGATGTATTTTCTTTGACTGTCACCAATATCCAATAATTTCAAAACACCTGTACAAAAGACAGACAGAGATTTGTGGAATCAGTAGATAGATGGACAGATATAAGAGGATCACTGATCTTCTCATCTAACTCAACACTAAAAAGCCATGTTGCCATTTTCTCCTGTAATACAGCTCCCAGCAGTGTTGACGGTACCTTGGACTGTCTCCCATGCTTGCACTTCAACTTCAGCAGTTCTTTTTCTCTCCGCAGCGATGATCCTGACTGTGTTGGACGAGTCGAGTCTCAGAGATGATTCTACTTTATACACCAAGACGTTGTTTTTAAATCCAAGATAACACTGGGTGCGGTTGCTTTCAGCTTTACTCTCTGGAAAAAGAAAAAAACCGCAGGTTGTGTGGATACAGCCGATCAACATCATAAATGGCCCATTATGCAGTGAGCCGCGTTTTTCTACCTGGACAAGTCTTGCAGCACTTTCCCGCTGACTTCATGGGATGTTGGCATGGATACTGGCTGGGACACGTGATGCGTTTGCAGTCCTGGAGGCCATCAGTACAAGTGCACAGGATGCATTCCAGGACCCTCCCCAAAACTGGGTGCCACATGTCTCCATGAGAGTATGTCTTGCCATTGTATAAACACGCTGAGAGAAATGGAAAACATCTGAGGGTTGCGCTGCATATGGGAACGATCGTCAAAGTTGCGAGGAAGATGTCCATAAAAAATCAAACACCTATAAAGGATCTCTCTGTTTTGACAAAGTCTCACCTCTTTGTTGTTTCCTCTGCAACAGAATCTTCACAGTGGTCTCCGAAGCCCCTTTGAGGTTAAGTTTACTCAGGCTCAGGCCTCTGGGAGAAGTCCTGACCCTGGGCGGAGTGGCACGGTCGGACCGCACCTTGCTCTGCTCTGCAGAACACTGGTCGACCGAATGCCTCTTTTGAAAACCACCACATAATAGGACGCAGTTATCTTTCCTCAATGCAGCTATTAGCATTACAAATAAAACAACATAGTTCACTGTGAGTATTAAGCCAACTGCTCTGTGGCTCTTGCAGGCAAGTGTTGGTATTTATTGATCACAGCAAACTTTATATTATTTCAGTATTAATCAGAATAATGCGATGCCAAGTTGTGATCCCAGCCGTATTCAATGGAATATAATGTGTTTTCCTCTCCCCTTGCACAGGATGTCAGTTGTCAGGGTCAGTGTAGAGCAGCCCCCCCTCCTCAACACGTTCTGTGACACTTCAGAGAGACACTTGACACTTGAACCCTGTGATTCAACTTAAACTACGCCTTCTTACTACCTTACTCTACATTTAAACATGTTTTAAGTTGAAGTTCCATGTGAAAGCAACAACAATGATATGTTAATTTTCTGAAACATAAAATAAGGACATACAACTCCTCTGTTCAGCTGCTGGTTTCCATCCTCAGTCGATGAGGACCCACTGGTGCTGTGATCTAAAGGAAAAAAAGCATAAACCTCTTATGAGGAGACTTATTACCACAGAAAACATGATGGTTCATCTACATTGTGGTTGGGCTACATTTCAATATTATTACCTCCGCCAAGGTGATGTTTTCACCCCGGTCCATTTGTTTGTTGTTTAGTTTCTATGTTAGTTAGTTAGCAGATAACACAAGAGCTACGGGATGGATTAACAATAAACTTGGTGAAAGAATGTGGAATGGGTCAGAAGGCAGATTCAGGAACTTTTCACTTTCTTTTTTGACATTGCCGTTGATTTCTCAGAGAATAATTCATGGATCTAAATGAAATAAATCTGATATTTTGGTACAGATCCACATGTAAATCAGGATCTAGTGAATTTAAATGTGGTTTCATGTTGGGCCTTGGCAGAGGTATCCGTGTCATTGTTGCATAATGAACTTAAGTGGAATGTGATAATTTACAAAATTATCTTATTTACTGAATTGTATCTAGACAAAGCTAATTTCACTGAACATTAATTTCATAGTTTAAAGTATACTTTTGCTTTTTTTATTTATATATATATATATATCTGTATTAGAAAAAAACCTTCTTTCAAAAGCACAGCCCTGACCTGAGGTCAAATTCCTAAAAGCTATAATAGTTCCAGGTTGGACACAGAGTAAAGACATTTTGTCTGCTCAGAGCTTGGACTTCGACTACCTTTACACACCAAACAGCAGGTATCTGGAACTGACACTGGAGAGGAACAGGTGATTGGTTGGCACGTTTTCAGAGCACAGAAGATGTTTCCATTCTGAGGAAAGAGGAGAAGGGAAAATTACTCATCTTTTACAATGTCCAAGTATGTGCTGAAGGTGAGGTGAGGCTGAAGCACTCCCAGGCTTCTGCACGCCTCTCTAGAGCAGTTTATAATTGTACATGAGGTCCAACGAGTTATTTGACGACACTCTCAAAAGCTCAGAGCTCAGTGAAGGCTTGAACAAAAGAGCCGGCAGAGCTCTAAAAGTTATTACAAAGAGATAAATTAAAGAAATATTTCAAAACTGACATAATTTATACTGTTTAAAATGTTTACAAGTCCCTTTGTTGAGTTTATTTTCTTGTTTTGTCTCCTTGGAGATGTAACACGTGTGTTAATGAACCCCACTTATCAACTCATAAAATGACCTCCTCGCATCATGACAAGTACAGGGTGATTTCTGCTTTGGCTCCATGTCTCTTACAGTATCTGCCTTTTGTTATATAAATGCAGACGTTCATCTGTTCTCTGGCGACAGTCACAAGCACGATAAGCCAACACGCAAACCAAAGCAAGATGCTTTCACCGGCTGCAGTATTTAGAAATACATGGGATACAACAATGCATGTCTGCTTTAATCATTAGCAGGGGTAGGTTAGTGGGCAGAGATGGAACATAAATTCAACACGCACACTGAGATTAAACACTATAAAAATTTAAAGGCACATGATGACTTTTGCTGATGTTACTGTATATTTATAATTCAAAGGGTTTAATTGGCATAAACGAAGGTTTGCTGGTTGTTTGAAAAACTATGTGTTGTAAACTTTAAAGGTTTTTATTTCACAGCCAATATTAAAAAATTATGTTTTCCTGTATGGTTTTAGACATTTAAAGCTGTGCTGGTGTTGCCTGGATAAGTTTGAGTAGTTTACGATGCAAAGAGCAAATCTAAATTCATGAATTTTCAGGCTTTTTCCTGGAAACTGAGGATTTGTTATGTTTTCATCTGTGTTTGTTTGTCCGTCTCTCTGTTTGGTAGTTAGCAGGATGATTAAGCTAAAACTGCAGGACGGATTATCACAAAACTCGGTGGAAGGATATATTATCAGAAAAAAACATTATCAGGGGGCAGAGCCAGGAATTATTTTCCCCTTTCTTTAACATTGTTGCATTTTTTTCAAGTGTAAAGTTTAAATGATAAATCTGCTTTGAGAACAAGAGAGATAATGTTAAAATACCATAAGATATTATTTACTATCTGCATTTGAAATATGATATTCTTTCACTGGATCAATAAAACACAACCTGACTGTAAACGACAGAAGTAAATTGTCTGTAACTTACGGAGCACGAGCACATGGCACACTGGTTGCTCTGCTTGGATGGAAAGAGGTCGTGCTTGGTGAAGGTCTCCCCCGGCTGATAAATGCTCCCATTGTACCTGCAGGACTTCACTGATGCTCTCAGCCCTGCAGGGATCCTGGGCCCGTCTGAGGAGGGCACATCACACACACAGATAGAGTTTGAAGTCCCAGCCTCTCAAAAAGCCTGGAGAGGTGTGTGGAGACCTACCTGTGCACCTTGGACAACACTGCTGAGGCTCAGCCACCGGGTTTTCACAGGACAGAGCCGGACACTTGATTGTGTTGCATTTCACATGGCCTATCTGAGAGAGAACAGCACCAGTTTACGCACAGCGCTATCAACTCACCTCTAAACCACTATGACAGCAACTCAAATATCAGCAGTTACCTCAGTGCAGACGCAGCGCATGCAGAACATAATTCCAAAGGGCTCCAGATAGGGATGCCAGCTGTCTCCTGGGCTGAACGTCTTGTCTTTAAAGGTACATACCACCGCAGAGCCTGCATGTCAGAGATGAGACAGAAGAGCTATTAAAACACATGTGGTGCAGATAAACAGAAGCATTAACATGTGAACTAATCTGACTAAACATTTGTCATTTTGTCAACAATCAGCGGCAAGTATTTAAAACTACAAAGAAAAAAAACATGTAGTACAAATACCACTGATCTGACTTAAGCTCAATGCAGTGCTGGAGGAAGTATCTTAAAAAACTTAACACATTAAGTAAAAGTTAGTACTTTCTTTCAAATGCACTTAAACATATAAAAGGTACCACATCAACTGTTCTACTTGAGTAAAAGTGAGTAAATAGCACTTGCTATAACATATACTTAAAATATTAAAAGTAAAAGTACCACATTGACTGTTTGACTTGAGTAAAAAGGAGTAAGCACTACTTGCACCTTAATATATTTCAAAATATTACAAGTAAAAGTACCATATTAAATGTTGAACTTTTAAATATAGGCTACTTTTTTTAATTAAAAGTGAAAGTTGCACATTAGTTTCCTACATGAGTAAAATTAAGTACTACTTGCTATTAAAAATACTTAATATTTGAAGCATTAACAGTCAAAGTACCACATTACTTTTCTACTTGAATAAAATTGAGTAAGTACTACTTGCTATAAAATATACTTAAACATATTTAAAGGAAATGTACCACATTAACTTATGTACTTGCATACTCAGATTGCATCAGTAGGCCAAATATCCTCTTATCACTGATTCACGTAAAAACAAAAAACAATACTTGCTGATGTATAAAGTGGAAAGTACGTGATAAGAAATCAACTTAAGTAAAGAACGGATACGTGAAATATGTACATAAGTACAGAAACGAAGTAGAAGTACTTAGTTACAGCCCAGCACTGGCCCTGTGACTATTCAGACAAACAGACTTCATGAGTCCACTCTTAAATGCTTCTCTGACCAGATCACTTATTACACAAAACACCAAAGCTGTGTTCACAACAACAGAGGATGTTGAATGTTCAAGTATGAGATCGTGTTTTAGAAAAAGCCCGACAGAGCAGTCCTGAACTTAAATCCCAGCTTCACACGCTTTTCTCTGATTTTAAGCCCCAAACGTCTGATGCCAGAGGAGAGAAAGAACCGCAGCAGGGTCTGGACTCACCTTTCCTGGGTTTCTGCTCTGCATCTGCAAACCAAATGATGAAGAGGAGGAAAAGCATGGCCTTCATTTTTTTTTTACATGTGCGCGACTCGCTCTCCTGTGCGCAATAAATATGTTTCTGCAGGACGGTGTGAAACAGCAGGGATTGAAAAAAGCCTCGGTGTTTCTGCTGAACTATGGCGCCTCCTTCAGGACAGAGGCGTCCTGTCATCTGGGAAGGCAGAGGGATGACAGTGGAGTGAAGCGTGACCTTAAAATAGATGTGACCTAATAAAAGCAACACATCGAAACCATACAACTATTTACCTACTGTTCAAAGACTGTCCGATTTAAGAATAGTGTCTGCATGAAATACTTCATATACAGATAAGTGAGTGCATTATTAAATGACTAACAAATGTCATGTTATCTATTTAATTTAGTGACCACTGAATAAGGGCACTGCTGGTTCTGCTCTGTATGTTTGAGGCTGAATTTTGCTAATACTGTTTTACAGGCTGAAGATTTTTTTTCAATCAATGCAGAGCTAAAATGGAAAGACTCGGCCATGCAGAAATGAAGGCAACATACAGGCACAGGTATAATACTGTTTATTAACACACATGGGGGATAAAACAGTGCAACCATGTTAAAATAGACATCAAGATGCCAAGAACCCCAGGACAAACAAAAAGAATAAAACTTAATGACCCATATCCCAACAAGGATTTGAAATTCCCTCTCCCTACGATGTTGCCTATTGCAAGCCATTGCATGGCTCCATAATAAAGCATTTAACTAAGAGTAAACAGTTTGATTCACAGTCAGTGCGGATGGAAAGAGACAAAACAAATCCCAGACTTAATCAGATTCCTAAAACCCACAGCAGTATTTTCTAAAATGGGGCCCCTGTAATGATGGAGGAAAGGCTTGTATCCAACTTTAAAATTTCACAACAGTTATAGAGAAAAAACAAAAAACTGATCAATGGATGAAGTTGATGTTTCCCTTTTAAAAACTGTACTGCATATTTGGAACACTGTCAGGGGGACTTTTCCGTCATGCTTTGCCTAAAACCTTGTTTTCAAAACATCATCAGGTCCAGACAAAGCTGAAAACTGGAAATACTTTTACTTATTAAAACGTCACTTTGGACTACAAATGCACATCTGCGTCAAAAATGTTGATCACTCTCTTGACTGCTCAGCTCTAAGTCCTTGTATGAAGATATCAGATGTTTTGATCCAGTTGTAGTAAAAAACATTCCTATTATATTTGATCCTATCATGTGTGTGAGAAGATTGATAACTGACACTAAAATGTCCCGAGAGATCGTTAAACCAACGTAGAGTGATTCGCTTCCTGGATCAGACACAGCCAAGCATTTTCGTAATTACACAGGGTTTCAGGGTTTCAGCACAGACTCAGTAAGAGCAGCAAACATACTATATTTGCTGCCTGTCATATTAATTCAACTTTAAATGTCTGGAGAGAAGGATATTATATAGTACAGCATGAATTAAGAGTGTTCAAACAGACGCACTAACGCGCCTCCACACACCCACGACAGTAGACGAATCAAAAAGTGGAGACTCAAGAACTGCTGCTGCGTGCCCCTGTGTCGTCCTCTCGCTTCTGACGTTTCTTTGCTCTGATCGCATTCATGGCTTCCTCTATGGAGCGAGTGTCCCTCTTGTTGGCCACAGGTACTGGGAGAGAAAAATGACCAACGTGGTGAGTAAATAAAAAGGCGGGGGGGGGGGGGGTTGAAGAATTGTGGGAAGCAAAGCTGTGCAGTGTTTCAATGACCACGTTCGGACCTGGTGTCAACATCTGTCCTGAGTGATCTGATCACAAGACAAGTTGAGGTCACGTTTGGGATCTGATCCCACAGACTGAATTCAGAGGTGAACACATGTGACCACCTTGTTTGTATCAGTGTGAAAGCACATTGTAGGACGCTACGGTTTGAGATTAAACCATTTTTTACACTTCTGGATTTCAGTCAGACAACTCACGTTCAAACGTTTATTGCAGCAGTAGGACAGGTTTGTGTTTTGCGTCTAGGCTCCGACTAAATCACTCAGTATCATAGCAGTATAATATTTCACAGATATGATGGGAGTGACAAGTAAATACCCCCCTGTCGGAGCCTGCAGGTGGATGCTGGGGTGGTGGAGGGGCTGAAGCAGTTAGAAGCAATACTATAGCAGCAGTGCGAGCAGAGGGGGTGATGGGAAATTTCTCTCTGCTTAAATAGGTTGCTTAATAATGTGGGTGTGTATAATGGAGGATTGTGGAGAATGGGGCATGTCACATAATGTGCGTCACATCAGCGGCGCAGCTCGAGTTGGCTGCCTGAACTCGCTCGCAGGGTTCACTCCATGTATGAAACCAATCAATGTAACTGATGAAGTGATGTACTCACCACAGCCATAAGCACTGTTTGCCTCTAGAGTATGCGCTGCATCTTTTGCCGCTGAGGTGCCGATCAGGTGACTGTACTTGTCTCTGTAGTTGGAGTTAGGAACCTCTGTCTTCTTTGTCTCACTGGAAGATGCCACTTCCAGTGCGGCTTGCTCCTGTAATTTGACAAAAACACAACACGCCTTGTGACTGTGTTTCTTTATTTTCAATCAGCAGTGCAGGGTGTCTTACCAACAACTAACTGTATTGCTATTCCATACTGTCACCTAGACACATCCTAATACCTGTGTAAATACACAGAGTGAGCATCCAGTCTTACTTTTAGTTTTCGTCGTTGCTCTGCCAGCTTTGGATCCCACTCCTCTCCTTTGCGATAAGCCTCCAGCTCCTCGTCTGATGGCGCAAACTCCTGCCACAGCACAAGGTTTAAAACAGTCAATTTACTACACTGTTCTTTTGGAACTTGAGCCAAACAATCAGGTTTGTTAAAATATCAACACTAAAAAGTATTCAGACCTTCTTGAAAAGCATGACATAACGACTCTCCTCATCTTCCCCGAAGGAAAAAGAAGTCAGCCCAGCCACTTCTGCAACATCGTGCCTATGAGGCAGGAAGAGATTAAATGTCAAACAGTTGTGAACATGGGACAAAAACACCTTCTTTCACCCAAAAGGGTTTATTTCAAGCACTGACTACTACTTACAATATACTCCGTTCAATCTTCCCCATAGGGTTGTACTTTCGTTTCTGTTGTTTACTGTCCTGGATGAAATCTGACACTTCTTTCTCCATCTGATCAAGAGATGTGGGAAAACAAATGCAGTGACGAATGAAGCCAGACCAGAGTGACAGAACCTAATTCAGTATGTGTTAGATGTGACACAAACTCTTACCTTTTTCCTGAACTCTGCTTTCTTTCTTTTCTCATTTTCCTCCATCTTCTTGAGTCTCGCTGCTTGCTCTGAAAATAGCAAAGGTTAAAGTTGAGTTTTGTTTATGTCCAATAGCACTAAAAGTTTGTTTTGTAAACACAGATCATGGATTCTTACAGCCACAATCGGCCGAGTTGTATTTTGAAAGACTGAATTCACAATCAAGAGACAGATTTTCTTCCAAAACATTTTCGGATCATTCTGGTCTGGAGCACAGAGTGACTCTGATCCTATTAGTTTTTTTGGGCACATCCTCTAATATTTTATTTATAAGCATATTCACAACTATATTTGACTGGAACCTGACCAGAATGTTCCAGTGCTAATGCTGATATTTGGGAGGGAAAATGTTTTTTACTAACTTTTGATTCCTTAGAAATGTAAGGATTGATATTTTACAGTTCAAACAAAAAATGGTCACAAACACAAACAAATATGTCCAACTTGAATTAGAAAAGTCAATTATTTCTCTTTTCTGCATTGTTTACTTTCTAAAATGCATCTTTTCATATCAGAACTAATCTGCACGGCGGATTTTATCTGTCAATATATTGAGGTCAGGCTCTACTTTTTATCACAGCCATCTTATGGCCCAGACTAACAACTGTGAGGTGGTTTATTTGTCATAATACTACAGTCCGTCTTGCTACAGAGCACCTGGAAATACTTTTCAAGACAGGAGATATTGTGAAGAATTCCAAGTTCCTCATGTTTTCGTTTTTTAAAGTTTTTATATATAAAAATGAGCCAGACCTTCACAGCAGCCAGTGGTTGGAACAGTGGATAAACAGAGGCGTCAGTGATGAATGAATGTAGCAGTATAATATAGTAATGAATCAATGGAGCGCCCGTTGTAATAAAGCACGTGTGCTTAGATACAACATCTGTGTTAACCTGCTGTCTCCGGTCAAAATGGCTGCTGTGAAAAGCCCTAAGGAACATTTCAAAAGCATCGTCTATCTGTTGTGTCCAGAGCTAGTTAGCAGATTAGCTTAGGTCTGATCGGTGACTTGACTGGTACAGCACTGGTCTTGATTGGGGCTAAGAGGGGCTCACAGGGGGGCTGGTGTGTGGAGGGCAGAGCACAGTCCTCTCTGGGGGCATCCAGGAGGAGGCTGCAGCGGGTCACACGTGTTTGGCTGTTTTGAAGTCTCTTCAGGGAATCAGGTTAAATCAGGCTGAGCTCGGGTTACAACATTATCGGGAGGGGGGGCAGCTCGACTTCGACACAACACCGCTGCTGTTTGTTTCCAGCGTGTCTCCCTCAGCAGCTGCCTGTGCTCCAGACTCTACCCTCTGCCCCGCGGGACGTGCGCGGCTGCAGGCTCCTCTAAACCCGGAGCAGAGCTGACCTGACCCGGCGGTGGCAGCAGCAGAAAGCGCGCTCTCCTCCTCGCCTGTTTGTACTCAACACTGCTGAGCCTGATACCAGCGTCATGGCAGCAGCTGAGACTAACGCAACGCTGGTCGTTATTCAGGAAACACACAATGTACCTCGAGCCTTTCGTCGGCTCTCCTGGTCGCCGACAGTCGGAGGCTTCTCCATCGAGTTTAGGATCGAACCGAGGAGGTCCGCCATCTTGAAACGATAGAGCAGACTGTTGTTGTGGGCTGCAGCTGTTCGAGCTGCGCATGCGCACATGAGAGCGCTTTTCTTCGCCGCGTTGCAAAGGAGGTGACGTTTACAGCTTTACAAACCTTTAGCGCCCCCTTCTGTACAGAAAACACTCCGCACCTTCACATGTTATGAAACAATTTTCAAACACACACAGCAAATTGAAAAAATTGTGACATGACCAAAATCTGTTTTATTGATAATAATCTCAATACATTTCACGTCATTATTTATTGTAGGTTTGAATAATAAATACCTCATTCAAACTTCATTGTGCTTGCACAAGGCATAAGCATTATATCAATATGCATACTGACAATGATCATTATATTGCGATAATTATTGATATAACTGTATTGCCCAGTTCTTTTTGAGCAGCTGTCAGTGGGAGACAACTGTTTAAGTGAGCTTTTGCCATTCTTAAGGAAAAGTCATTTTAGATTTGCAAATTACAAAGTGCTTCGTGCTATATGCAGGTAAAGTAACTAAAAGGAGCTGAAAAACAGACTTATTAATAATACAATACAAATACAAAATGTTCCTTTAAGGTGATTCATGTTAGATAAAACAAGCAAGTAAACAAATATCTTTACAATAAGCACTAGGGGGCATGCTGTACAAGTACATGTACATGTGTCCTGTTGTTATTGTTTTGTTAACAATCCTCCCCCACGTCACTGGAGTCGTGTGTTTTGTGCAGTTTGATTGTAGTTTCACAGCATCAGCAATTGCACATGAACTACTGGCATATTCAGATGTGGGCAGAGCAGTGGACGAACACAGGGTGGCCCTGAAAACACAGTGGGACAGAATTGTGCTGCTCACTGAGTCTAAAACAAACAGATTCGTCCTTCACCCTGTAATCATAACTGTGGGAGTCCTTTGTGGTCTGTGTTTACGCCTCTGTCCGGCCACAGAGGTGTGTGTAAGTAAAGAACTGTCCCTTTTTTCATTTAGGCTGATTAAACAAAGACTTGTTTTGCTCATTAAGAAAATTACAGTAATACATTCCTGAGAAGCTGCGACTGACTGAGCTGAGTGAGCTGATAGTCCAGACCCTCAGCCCTCAGACTCCCATCATTCAGCGATACTTTGTTATTGTGATTTGGACAGAGCAGGACGGACGGACTCCTCCCCCGTGGTGGAAATGCTGTATAAATGCAGCATCAGCCTGTCAACAGCAGTGTCTGAAAGCTTATTGGTGCCCGAACATGAAGGGACTGAGCTTGGTTCTCCTGGTGCTTCTCCTGATGCTTGCAGTCGGAGAGGGTAAGAAATGAAATACACCCATTTTCTTACTGTGTGAGATCAAGCAAATCAGGATGCTTAAACTTCACTGTACTCAAATGGGGCCTGACAGTCAACATAACAGTTATGTTAACTTAGTTATGACATTATTATTTATTGGGATTGCGGTTTATAAAAACACCATCAAGTGAAGTCATTATTCATCAGGAGTATGGGAACATATCTGTGATTCTATTGACAGGCAATGATCCAGAAATGCAGTACTGGACTTGTGGGTATAGAGGACTCTGCAGACGGTTTTGCTATGCTCAGGAGTACATCGTTGGTCATCATGGTTGCCCCCGGAGATACAGGTAGGCCTGCCAAGATTATAATGTAGACCTGCACACAGCCCTTTAATATTTGTGTCACAAAGACAGCGCTGCATGACTTCCCGCAGAAGAAAAGCACCTATTCTGAAGAAAGAGATTCTCTAAAGTTGCCCTTTGCTCATTTCCAGGTGTTGTGCCATACGGCCTTAGCAGCTCCTGCAAGGTGTCCCAGCACGAGGGCCGACATCTTCAGTTCAAGCAGCTGGGATCCTGGCAGCCGGCACAGCCTTCTTCTTCCAGATAAACCACCTGGACAACTTTGCTGTATTGATCAGTCCCTCTTGGAGCTGATGCCGAGTGCTTTTGAAGTGGACTTTATATGCTGTACTAAGAATTAACTCATGTCGTTGCCTGAAACATGGTGTGACTGATCCTGTACCTCACACTGAATGATGTCTCATAACACAGCCTGTGAACAGTTGGTTTCTTCTCTCTGAAATGCAGTGCCAATGCCAATAAATGCATGGAAACAGATGCACTGGTGTTTGGTTTGTTTAGTACAGAGGATCCTCACTATCAAACTGTATCATATTGTCCCAAATGCAATGCAAAGAAATCCAGTTACTTTGCATGTGAGAAAACATCAGTACAGTGTGTATATGGAGCTCATTGCCCACTTGGCTTGACCTTGGGGAAATAACAGCATGGAAAGCAGTCTGCGTGGAGTCTGGCATGCTGTCGCTCAGCGCTGCACTGACAGGACACAATAATGGTCAAGTGACTGACCTAAATAGCTGTTGATGAAATAGAGCTTTTGTGAATGAAGTGTTATGGCTCTTGTCTGTGTTTATGTTATCTCACCAGTCTGTCTGTCTGGACAACATTGTCTGGAACAGACGGACGACGTCACGGTTGCAAAGCAGATTCATTGTCATATCGCCGGCCTGTCTCAGATCATCGTAAGTTTAGATGTCATTGCTGGTAAATTTATTTGATTAAGTTCTATTTTTTAGGAAGCAACTGCATAACTGCTCAAAACTAATTTGCTCATCTCCGTAAAAGATCTCCAGAAAGGCTGTTATAATAAATACTGCACTACAAAGACATTGAAACATTTTGTTATCCCTCTGCCTACTATATGTTGCACTAACTGATCCAGGATCTGAAGATGGTGGATGACTGGCCCGGGCTGGTAGGTGTTAAAGGCATGGATGCTATTTGTAAACAGGAGCCACTGTATTGTGCCCTGCATTGTCATCTGGGTTGAATCTTTGTACTATTCAGACAGCGCAGCGTGACCGAGCCACAAAGGGGCAAACCCCCACAAACCTGTTTACATGAGGCTTTCTGTCTTCACAAAGCAACAGACAGCAACAGCTTGAAACTGAAAATTATTACAGGATGCATGAACTGCACCTGTATAGACCAGTGTTACTGTGGGGAATTCATGGTTGGACGATGTTGACAAATGAATCACAGGGACCAGCAGTAATCTAAAGCTAGAGGGAAGTTCTGACCTTTAACATCGCAGCTCAAATAATCTGAGCTCTGGTTTTCCTGTGCAGCTCCTCAAACATGATCAACTTACTTGCTTATTTAATTTGACTTTTTAGCATAGCACTGGTCTCTCACTGTTATATTTTTATGTTTAAATAAACATGTTTGAATAAAACAGTGGCTTTAATTTGAAATTAAACAATCAGAGAGAACTGATTTTATAATGTACATTTTAATGGCATCTTTACTCTGTATTCTGTATGTGAATCAATTATGATTAAAAACATGGCATCAGCATGAAGTGTACAAGTCTCTGACTTGTCTCCATTATATACAGTCTATTTAAATTGCACTATGAAAAAAGTCTATCTTAAGCTTTGGTGTTCAGAGCTTTTTTACTGATAAATTAAATAAAACAGCTTTATTTTACTAGATGGCTGAGTGCTCAAGTTCCTTTTACAACTTGAATAATGTTTCTGCTCCTCTGCAATTTCACTTGTGATGTAAATGTCAGGTGAAAACAAATAGTCTTTGCTCAGGTCAGATTGTTTTGTGCCCTCTGGATAAGAGGATAACTTCTCTTTAAGATCATTTTTAATCTCTATCCCTCATTCTGCACTCGAGCGGCATTTTTTAGGATGCTGACACCACAGGGATTATCCAGGTGATTATGAGCAAAACCCGACTTTCATTTGAAGTAGTCCTTCACATTCAGGCCAGTGTTTAACTTCTGTAGAATCAATCCAGGGAAATGTTTCTTCACGCTCATAGAGTCTATTTAATACTATTATAGCTCTAAAGTCATAAGACTCTTGCTTTTACAAGCACACAGGCCTGATCGATGGAGCCCTGCAGACAGACATCCTCTTGCTGAGTTCACCTGAAGACAATTTCTGAAACTCTGTAGTGGACATGCGTGTCTTTTGTCACCTCAATATATAGCAAATGTTTCTACCTTAAACCTGCTCCTCGCTGAAAATGTCTGAGTTTGAATACTTAAAACTTCATTGTTTGGTTTTTGCTTAAACATGAATCTTAAAATATGCATTTTTTTTTTTTCACACAATTTTGAATTTGTATGTTAAATTTGACAAAGCACAAGAAAAAGGAAGGTGAATGAGTGAAAACATAATAGTGGCCATTACACACAACAGAAGAAACACCTGCACAATATTATGACGCCTATTTTAAAGGCCTGAGATAGACACTGTCACTGGTAAACTATTGTACTGGTTAGTATTGTATTGTACATTTGGGCCTTCCTGTCCACTCCCTTTTCCAACCAAACTTTGGACTGCAGGCCTTTGTCTTTGTCGGCTTTTATATGAGACATAAGCTGCAGGAAATAACTTTTCCCTTTGTACAGCAACAGCTAAAGGTCAATGAGAGGTCTGCACTTATAGATGTTTCCAGGTGAGGGGGGGGGGGATTTAATCTAAGTAACCGTTTTCTTTCAAATTAGGTTACTAACCTCCTTACAGATGACGATCACATCAATCAGAACGGTTATGGGCGGACCATGGGGCACTATGAGAACAGCTTTTCTGTTCAGGTCATATGAAAAGAAGCAACATGTAAAAAAAGCTGTAGGGCTGAAAAGATGGCAGCCTAACAAGCTGCAAAGCAGACTGGTTAACGATGAGTACAAAACTTAATTTCATAGAGTTGTTCATACATTATACACATATAATAAACTAGTCCACGTCTGGACCAACTTCCAACCAAAATAAATATTGAACCACGAAATTTGGAACCACTTTTAATCATTGAAGATGTTAAACACAGAAACATTCAGATATATCTTGTTGTTGTTGTTCAGAGGCATGAAAATTAAAAGCTTCCCTGACAGAACTGATATGTTATACTTTTAAACTGATCCTAGTAAAAGGAACACATGTAAAACATCAACTTGAACCGTAAAATGTTTACTCAGCTAGTTTAATACCCTCGAGTCATATCAGTGCAAATTCAACAAGAAGAGGTGAATTTTTAGTGCCGTTAAAAGTCATGCAGACCTTGAATTTATGCATTTGTTGTGCTACAAAGAGATAAGAATTATCTCTGTTAGTTTGAGAACGGTTTTATAGACTTTGATGTTTGAAATGTCTTAGAAATGAGAAGCAGGTGGCCAACTGCAAGTACGACATTGTTCCTGACAAATATTTGATCGACATTTCATCACAATGCTGCATAACTCTTATCAGGTTGTAGCTACAGGTTTTAAGGTATAGGATGGGTTAGAATTTAGAACATGTAATCAGTACTGAATGTGATTATTTACTTTCTTTGGCATCCACAGATCTGTTCCATAAAAAGAAAGATATCATTAAATAAAAACCAGAACATCTATTTCTTTCAGTCAAATGCCAAATAACAAAATGCTGCAATTCATTTAACTAAGTTTTGTAATGGGTCCCAGTTTTCAAGTTGCAAATATAAAACATAACAATTAAAAAACAAAATAGGGAGAACTTTCATTGCAATGTATCTTGTTATATTAGCCTTTTGTTTTCTTTGCAACATGAAAACTTGGACTCAAACTCTTTCACATTCAAAACTACAAAAGATTTCTAAACTTCAAATATATCCCAAAGAGCAAATATTGCGCGAATTTATGACGTAAACTACAACCTGAAATATGAGACCTGACCATGATAGGTTTTGAAATAGTCATAGTAATATTTCTCACTGGCATCAAATCCTGGTGATACAAGGGGTGTCATGTTACTTCTGGTTTTTATGAAAGTTAATTTAATCTAGGATTTGGCACAACATGGTGCACAACTTCGAAGGAAGTACAAAGATTTTAAACAACACAGTATGACAACATGTAATTTCACATCTTCAGCAAAGACATTCTTTCACTTGAACACCTGGACTAACAAATCAGGCCTAGGGTTGAAATCTGTGAAAGACCACTGCTGAGACAGTAAGGTGCAATCTTCAACATCAGTGGGTAAAACAAATGAGCTTCAACCAATTCATTTTTCAAATAAAATGCTTAAACTTATCATGTGACCTGCAAAAAGGAAAACATTTTGTTAATAACGCAGAATGCAAAATGCCCTTAAAACTACAGCAGTGGGCTGATCTAAGCCTGAGAATCCGATTGTCTGAGCTTAGGAGGGAAGTGTGATTTGGTGCCGTGTCTGTTGGGCCAACTGAGGCTGCGTCCAATTCACTTTTGATTCAAAACATAACCTGAAGCTTCGTTTTATAGGTTAATCAGTGTTCCACAATTTGTTATAAAAAAGTCTGACGGAAAAAAGTATGCAAAATCTGAATCTTGAAGAATTGAAAAAATGTCTAGAACATGTCAAATGAAGTGAAATGAAAGTGCATTAACACAAACACTCCTTTCAAAGAGTTTATAAAAAAAAAATAAAGAGCTAATCTAACAATCCATGTGCCTGCCAGGACAGAACAAAGCAAATCATACCAGAACTCTGCAATGTACATGTTCAATTGTTGTTACAGAACTGGATTACTGATCTGTTAAAGGAGACGGAAACTCTGACCTGGGACTTAACTTGCAAATTGGCAGCAAACATTTGAAAACACGTCAAAAACAAATCCACTTGAAGAAAATGACAAAAGCAGTTATGAACTAAATATTGACAACAGTAGAAACAAAACTTCCAAACTAATTTACACTGATCACATACTAAAATAAAAATCATCCATCATTATCTCCTACCCCAGTGTGCTAAATGCTGTGACTGAACCAGTCACCAAAAAGGAAGATTTTCTGTCACAGCCAATTTAAAGGAAAGGTTGTAGATGAGTGATCGGTGCACTCCAACAAAGATACAATCACAGACAGAACCTGACCACCTGTAACTCATAACTGTACTTATTGGGCCAAAGACTAACGTGATGATGATATATTTTGTCAAAATTCAAGACACATCAATTCTTTTTGCACTTTAATACAAACAGCATTATACTTTTCAAATTAGGTTAAAAAAAACGAACTTCTTGTGGACAGATTCCAGTAATTCATCCATTTTCTGCAGATGTCATCTTTTGTTCAGCCTCACAGAAGTTAAGAAAAACTCAGGAGCTAAAAAACCCCCACCAAGGTACTTCAAGTGATTCTGATGCTGTTTGAATTAAAGCCTGTGCAGCAGTGCTGGTCAGACTGTGCAAAACTAAGCATGTGTCACATTAACACAGCACTGAAGAAGCTGTGGCAACTCTCTCAACAGCCCCCTTTCAATTTCACTCTTATTTTCATTCTCTTGTCAGAACTCCATGGAGGACATTGTAAACAACATGTAAGGTCGGGCTATGGCTTCACTGTCATTGAAAAAAAGAAAAGAAAACAGATTACTGCATGCCAAATGTCTACTTTGCAAAATAGTCCTTGTGGTGTCTGTGCTGAATGATCTTGAGCTGAACCCACCACTGCGTCACCACAGCTCAAATGTGCCCCCTACCATTGGGATGGAGCAACACTCAAAACAGCCCAAACTATTTATCTTGATATTGCCAACATCAGATTTTTCAATTTAGAATTTGAAATTGCTGCTGAGCCAGTATTCTACTTTCCAATTATAGTAAGCACTGTTGAACTATACAGCTTCTTGGTGAAAACCCCCACTAACACCAGCTCACATCTGGCTTTTGTCTGCAATGGGAATGGATATAACCATCATTCACTTGCAGGTCAAAGGACTCTGCAGAAGACACTGGTTTTTATCGGCTCCAATCGGCAGTGATGGAAACGAGACACTTGAGTGAATGCACTCATTTGGCAACACAGTGAGGAAAGAGGGCATCGCAGGGACTGGAGGGAACAACCAGTTTGTCAGTACTCTACCATTATACAGCTCCTTTTCACTTAAGCTGCAGAAAAAATATCACTTAGTGGTAAATGTGTTGCTGATTAAGGGAAGTAAACAACAGCACTCAAACAACTTTCAGTATTTCACAGGATGTTCCTTGTTTTGGCTGTTTTGAGTGCATCATTATCTTTATCGCTTAGACAAACCTCTTTCCACAGGTTTACAGAAATTTTAGAGCTTTTGGTTTTGTCTATTTCAAAAAAAGGAGTTTTACATTTTTACAGCTCTGTATCAGATTATGGTTAATTCAGCTCTAAGGTCCATTTTGCAAAATAATGACAAACAAACTACATATTAGGGTTAGGAGATGGGACAAATACTGGAGATCCGCTATTAGTGATCCACTGATTGACTCTGGCTGTTTTAAAACCACCAAAATTTGCATTAATGTGTCTGCTGATGCGAAGCTTCAAACCTAATCCAAATACTTAACAACAAAGAGAACATTTCCTGTGCCATCAGTGGCAGCTGGCAATATGGGGCTCCGTTTACCATCAGCCTGCAGTGTCCTCTATCTGCACTCGAGTGTGGGTTTTAAAGAGACATCATGTAAATGTTTAATGGCTTTGTAATCCAGTGTTACACTGCGGTTTTACAGTGAGATAATCTGGTAAATTCACCAGTTATTTCCAGCGGTGATGGTGTCCCATTGGAACGTTGTGCCTCATCGCCCAACCCTAATATGTTACCGTGTGGTGACATGGTGGCACAGAAATAAATCATGAAAGCAGAGAAATATGGCCAAAGGTATCCAAACATGTGTTATGGCTGTGTATCAAACTGGGGCATCATTAGCGCGAGGAAACTGTTCAGATGAGCTAATTTTCCAGTCTGGCCAAACTATGATGTCTGGCTCCTTGTTGGACAACATTGTAGACTCCCATCAGAGTTCATGTCATACCGAAAGAATTTGAAGTCACAGAAAATTCTGATAGGTGCCTCTTCTCAACAGATCTCATCTTTACAAAATTAATTCGACTTCTGGTCCCATTTCATCTTCAGCGTCTGAAAAGCCGGAGAGACTCTTAAGGATTCAGGAAGATTCCTTGCAGTCCAGAGCAGCTGGCTGGCTTGTATTTAGGCTACTCACATTCAATGATCTTCAAGGCAGGAGCGGTCATTTGTGAAATAAGTAAATTGGCCTCTGAAAACCTGTCACAATGGAAAGAAAAGTTGAACATGGCATCAAGCTGTAATTGTGAATAATAAGAAGGTTATAAACTTGCAAATTGTTCAGTTACCTTTTATTGAACATTTGGGGGTCCCAAGGTGCTCAAAACTGGTGAAGCCCACCTCAGATGTAAGGTATGATGAAAACTGGTCAGGTCTGAGGCGGATGCTGTTATAATTCCCGGTAATATTATCCTGTCACATGAGAGAGAAAACAAATATTTCTTATTTCTCAGCAAAACAAAGCTTTAAAAAGAGAATGCTGCAAATATCCAGCCCCGTCGTCTCAGTTGCTTACAGTCAGCTTCCTCCTCCTCACATACGACTCCCACGGCTGCGGCTCGAGGATGAACAAGCCTCCAGGACGGAGGTGTCTGTAGACTCTCTTGAAGAGCCGCTTGACGCCAGTGTCTCCCCAGTTCAGGTGAACCCACTTGGTAACACTCAGGCAAAGGATTACATCATACTCTGGCCGCTGAGTCAGAAGCAGATTATCACTCTCCAATACATAATTGGCCTAAAGGAGAGAAGAGGTGGAGTGAGAAAAACCATGACCATGACAGGATAAACATTTTCTATTAGTGAATCACTGCCACAGCTGTCAGAAAGTAAAGACCATTTCTGAAACATAAACACATCCGGGGTTTACCACAAGTGAGTGGAAAGTCAAAATGTAATTTACATGGGAGTTCATGAAAATGATTAAGTTTAGTTTTGGGTGTATTGGAGAGCACAGTTAAGTATTCAGTGACGCACATGTCCATCCACTGATCCACAGTCCAAAGATTCATCTGCATAACAGGCAAGTTTCAGAAAAGGTCAACAATAAAAAAACATGTCATCTAGAGGCTAAGAGTGAAATAATGACTGGTTCTTTATCAAATAAAAATTAGAACTTTCGAAGGCTCCCAGCTTCTCCATATTTTGGCTCGGTATTCTGCATGTGCCTGACCACGTATTTATCACTAACTCCTGTTCAAAAACATTGTGAAGAATCAGTGATGTGAAACCGTTTCAAATAAATATCCAGAGATCAAATTCTGGGAAACGTGATGACTGAGAACAGACCTTTGTCACTGAAGATATTTTGAAATATCACATCAGGAAATGCAGTTGTTTCTATTTAGCAGTTTGGTCTATCACACAGCCAAGATGGTTTATAAGGGAACCTTATTTTTCTCTTAATCACTGGAACTAGATTTTTTTTAGTTGTATAATTTGTGCATTCAAAAGTATTTAGCAGTAAGGAACTAACAAAACTTCAATATGCTACCCTTCACCTTTCAAATGCTCTGCAGCCTGACATTTTTCTTTCATATCCCTTTTTTATCATTGTGCAGACTGAGCGGGCTCAGGCGTTCATCTTAGGGCCCGATTCACTGCTTTACAGGATAAGGTCTGTGCTACACTGCTGTTATCTCCACTGCTCCATTCACACACACTACAGTTTCTGCTTCAAACCCATTCATGTGGCTGCCTACACAACGCCAGCAGGCACAAGGCCAGTGGAGTGAAGAAACTTCCATAGAAACGAGGAACAAAACCCTTAATGAGAAACATTTATGTTGATTAAAGAAAAGCTGTCAGAATATTTGTAGCATCCTCGACAAAGGGAGGCAGAATAAAAGCAGAAGCCATTAACCAACATAAAAAAAAACGATGAAAATGATAGACTGCTGCCTCTGTGTTGCTTCCATCCTTCAGTTCCTAACATCAGTAGCAGCTTCAAACACTAACATCCAACACACTCAAAAATCTATGGGGGACAAATGAGTGGGAAGTCCCTGCATACTCACTTTGAGCTTGTGAAGACTTAGAAAAATAGATGTTGGGGTCTGACTTAAAGTGATGCTGAACAACCTGCCTGATCTATTATATTATTTTATTAACTTTATAATGAAGGAGGAGAAACTTGGGTCTTTTTAAGAAAGTGCTGATAATCTAAAATAAGAAGCCAAGAACTGGAACAACAAACCCAACGACGTGAACTTTGATCAATACCCTAAAAGGCCTATGTGACTCATCCATTCACTTTTGAAGGCCAACAACTACAACTCAAACTGAATGAAATTAGATCTATAAAACCTTGATGAATGCACATTTGATTTCATTCATTTTAATATCAGTCAAGTTGAGATACAATGTTAAATTTGCATGCAAATCCAAGCTGCTGTCCATTATCCTGGTAAGTTATTACCATACAAGTATAAATGACTGTGCTGTGACAGTGCCACCCTTCATTTAGATGCAATGTAATTATCACCATCATGTTCCAGGGAAGTAGTGGCTGTGCAAATTCTATCAAATCCTCTGCTGAACTCAGTGTTTCTTCTAAAATGAAGCCTCTTTCTTAATAGTTCTGTTTGGTTTCTTCAAGCGCTAACAACATGCTGTTACCCTAGTCTTAATGAATATATATGATGCTCTGCAGACGTAATGCAGGCAGGGTCATGCTGAATTTTATTCCTGAATTACTTTCATCTAGGCTCCCAAGATGCACTAACATGGCAGTCTGATGCTGCCTGCACCAGATGTTCACACACATACACAGAACGTCTTCTTACCTTGATGAAGGACACATTTGCGGGGAACTCCCCAGGCCGTGTGGTGGATGTTTCTGTTAGTGGTGGTGCAGCAATGGGCCCCCTTGAGATCCGCAGGGACATGGGAAAAGAGCAGCTCACAGAGGGATCAAGAGGACCCGAATCACAGTCCTCTTGCTCCATTTCCTCTGTTTTGCTGCCCTGCCTCTGGGTCCCTGCCTCATCTGTGCGACAGGAGCCATTGTCATTTACAGCCTCTGCGGGGCCACTTCTCTCCTCCTCTCCTTTCACTGGTTTCCCATTTTCGTCCCTGCTCTCCTCTTCCTTGTGCTTCTTTTCTGTGCCCGTGTGACTGTCGTTTCCATTCCTCTCCACCTGTTTAGTGCTCTTTTTCTCCTGCATTGCCCGCCTGGCCTCTTGGGTCTGCATCTCGGAAAGATAATGTCTGATGTTCTTTCGGGCTGCGTGCACCAGGCCACTGTCAATATCAAGACCTAATATGCGGGCAGGTCTTAGCATTTTGGCAATATACAGTGTTATGTGGCCTGAGTTGCACCCCAAATCCAGTACCTCTTTACCTTCAAACCATTCTGGACGAAGCACACGCGCCCGTGGGTCCTCACTAGCGCCCGGGTTGCGGTAGCCATAATACTTGTTGTAGTTCCCATACTGGAACTTCTTCTGTTGCTCCTTGGCATGGTTGTGTTGCTGCTGGTGCTGGCGGCCTCCTGAGCCTGTTTTAGAACCACTTCTTGGTGTATGGAAAGACTGAGAGTATCTCTGTCCCCCTGTACTGCTACTCTTGTCTCCAGATCCTGACTTTGCAACGGGGGTAGAATGGGTTACAGGAAGCTCCATTTTTCCAGAGTTGCGCCGCCGCTTACGTCTGCCTGTGTGCTGGTTAGGACCTCCCAATACAGAGGAAGCGGAATCCTCCATTGATATAGATGTTGTCTCCTCCTTGAAGCTGGCTGTGGTGTCAGCTGAGTGCTCATGGGATTCTCCTGTGACATTGGAGACACTGTCTGACTCTTTGGAGACATCTAGGGCAGAGCCTGAGGCTAACACACCTGGAAGCAGAGCAGAGCAGCCAGTTTTGACCTCAAATTTTCCTGATTCAGAGAGGTTGATCTGTGTGTTTGAAATCCCACCTCCTCCTGTTCCTCCATGGTGTCTGTTGCGGTGTCTCTTCCTTCCACTGCTCTTATAGGGGGACACCAAAAAGCTGCTGTCTGCTATCCCGCTGTTCAGGTTCAGCGGATCTGTGATGTCTCTGGGGATAAGGATCTCCACAGGGTCTCGACTCTTCGCTGGAAGAGGGGAGGATTTGGGCGTCTCTGCATTCAGTGCCCTGTTCACATCCTCATCCAGCAGGCTGTTGAGATTTAGTGGGTCGAAAATGTTCCCACCCAGAAGGAAGTTGGTGGGCAGGACGGAGTCACTCTCGGAGTTGGCCCTTCGTCTCCTCTTGCCAGATGTCGGATGCTTGAAACCAAAGCTTGCTGTGTTGCGCCGCTTAGTTAATTTTGTTTGCTGCTGTTGTTTGGAATGATGAAAGCTGTTCCTGCGACTGATGTTGTCCTCGTTCCCTCTGGTTCTCTGTCCATTATCGTCTGAGTGACTAAGCACGTCGGTCGTGCTGGTGTGTTTCGGCGAGGCTGCAGTGCCCGGGACGGGACACGCAGCCGCAAAGTCAGGGGTGGCCGTGGCACCCTCCACCATTACGGACATGTTACTGTAACCTCCAGTGCAATCTGAGCTGGCCTGCGGACCGCCAGTTTTTACAGTATCCTCATCAGCAGACATCTTGTTTGGTTTGCAGAGCTGATGCAGACATTGACGTGTTTTCCTCAATCTGAAAGTCACAGAGAACAACAGTTAAAAGAAAGCGTTTGAAATAATCTACTGAATACACAAATTTGTGTAATTATGGCAAAGAATACTACAATATAACAATTGGTTACTTTCGTTTATATTTCGAATATGTTTAAAATAAAAATATTGATATATGCAAGCAAGTAAAAGTCACAGCAAGCAAGTGAACTTATTGAACATCGCTTTGGATGAAAGCATCAGCTAAATGAATTGTAACAAATATTTAAAATAAATAAATAATGTCCCAAAAGGAGAAGTAAATACTTCTCGAGTACTACCGCAATTTATCATATTTCATCAAAAATACTTTGTGAAATGCTGAACTATACTAACCTTTAAAGCAAACAAAACATCTGCACACGCTATCTTACTGTGCCGATAACAATAATAACAATTATACATTTTATTTGTGCAGCTTTTAACAATGCTCAAATAAATATAACAACAAATGTATCAAATGCACATCTTGATCACACATTGAAATATGAGTTCCATGTCATAATCAAACATTGAAAGTAGTAGCAAGGAGCTTTCCTGTTGCTACGATCTCACACACTTGAGGGTGCAAACTTAAGTCACTTGTAGCAGCTGAAGTTACTCTGAGGTTACACTCCTGGGCTCCAGAGTCCAGGGACCTGTGCCCTCCAGCGAGCAGCTCAGAAACATGGGGTCAGCTCAAGTGGACGTCGTGGTCAACTCCTCCACTTCCCACTTGTCATTTCAAAACATGGTCTCACTTTAAAATCCGGAGTGTCAGTAACACAGTTATCAGACTGAGGGTGTGACCTCTGGCTCGTGTCCGCTCAGGGGTGACTGACCTGAAAAGTTTCCCTGGCTGTGTTGGACTGTTACCTAGTTAGCAGCTAGCTCCTAGCTTCTCCTCCGCGGGCCACAACGTCGAGCAAACGTCCCGCTGCACAAAACGCGTTATTGGACAAACAGTGGAGGAGCCCAGCTGCTGCCCGAGCCCCGTGTGTGAGTCACACTGCTGGGGGTGATACTCTCTCCCTGGTGGCCTCCTGTTCGCCTACAACTCAAGTGTGTGTGTGAGTGTGTGTGTGTGTGTGTGAGTGTGTGTGTGTGTGTAGTCGCCATCAAAATAACAGTCTCACCTCGCAGTTCTCCTCCCCGCCTCCGGCCGGACTGTCACTACCCCGCACTCGGAGCTAGCGTTAGCCTGAGCTAACTCACACACACACACTCATATACACACACAAGTGTTCCTACACGGCGGCAGGTCGACGCACAAACACGAAAGAAAACAAAGCGTGGCGGCCGCTGAGACGGCTCCCGTGTCCCCCTCCACCGCCGGTGAAGACTTCCTCAGTCAACTCCTAGTGCTCCAGCGTCAGGCAGGTTGCTGGAGACAGCGTTCGCTCGCTGGTAGAGGCGGCATGGCGGCGCATCCGGGCTCCGAGCTGTAGCCCAACATGACTGGGGCGGAGATCTCCGACCAGCGGCCGCAAGATGGTGAGGGGGGAGGCGGTCCCCGTGTGGTGATGATGAGCCTCACGGATCATAATAATAAAGATTAACGCGAGGCCCGCGACTGTCCATGTGTCTTCCTTATCGGTGATTAAGTCGATTACAATCGATTATAGTCGAATTTAATCGATTCGTCTTTTAGTTAGGTCATAATAACAGGTCACAACTGAGGCTCCTGTGGTATACACATCTGAATGACTCAAATTAAAAACTATTGACCATTATCCTATCATCAAGTTGGTTGATATGTTTTCCTGATTAACAAGTTGAATATTTTCAACATATATATAATATTGATTAATTGTTTAGTTTGTCATTAAAACTGTTCATAACTCAGACTACAACAATAAAAGAGCTCACTTTTTGGACATCTGAATTACTTAAATGACAAAATATAGACAATTAGCCTATAATCAAGTTGATTGATCTGTTATTCTTATCGATTAATAAGTCGAATATTGTCAAAATTAATAGATTTATTGTTTACTTGGTCGTAAAACAGGTGACTAACATCAAGTTGATTGATCTGTTTTTCTTATTGATTAATATGTCAAATATTGTCAATCTTATTTGATTAATCGTTTAGTTGGACATTAAAAATAGGTCATAACTGTGGCTACAGTGATATAAGACCTCCGAATTACTTCAAATAAAAAATATTGAATGATTATTTATAGTCAAAATTAATCCATTAATAGTTTATTTGGAAAGAACAGGCCATCAAATTGATGAATGAATGATCATACTGAACTTAATGAATCATCAAGTTGATCTATCTGTTCTCCTTATAGATTAATTAGTCAAACACTGTTTCATTTCATCAAGTAATCATTTAGCTGGTGTGATTTATAAGAGGATACTATCTCTATCTCTACACAACATGGAACATGGAGGTAGAGAATGTAGAGGCCATTTCAAGTTCATGGTTTGGTTACTGACAAAATCACAGCTAGATGTTTGGATGTTTTGTCTTTGTTACCACGGCATCGCAGCCATGGCTACCATTCACAGAGCAGATGTCGGTTATTTGATGATGCCATCAGTCAACTTCAAGGATACACACTACGAGGTAGGTTTAGGAAAGGAAACCTCTAGTCACCTCCACCTCCACATAATTGTGGTTGTTCACCAGAGCAGCCTTTGCAGGCTTTGATCACAGCCAGTGTCCAGCTGTCAGATTGAAGATATACAGTTGTCCTTGGTTGGGGCAGCAAATTGGTCTCAGCTGCTTACTCCAAATCAAATCCTCTAGATGACTTATGGTTTTTATTCTAGGACACACCTCTCTCTGGACCTGAAAATTAAGTTTTAGACCTTAGAGGTATAGATAAATATATAGTTGTAAAAAAGGCTGGAATTTATATAGTGCTTTTCTATGAAGCACTTTACAGTACAGTTTATTGACATTCACCCATTCACACACACATTCATAAAATGCAGTTCTATGAGGGGCAATTTGGGGTTCTGTATCTTGCCCAAAGACAATTCGGCATGCGGAGGGACTGGGACTGAGCCCCCAACCTTCTGGAGGACGATTGATCTACCTTCTCAACCCCAGCTGCCCCCCCCACCCCCTACACCTCAGTTACATGCTTTATGCAGATTGTCTTTGTGCGTGTTCTTATGAAATAAACAAGTGACACTTGCTGACCATTTTGTCCATCAGTGAAGCTAAGTATCAGTGAGTGCTTTGCAAATTATAACAATAGTGTATATGTATGCACATTAGTTATAATTAGTTTTGTTATGTGTCATTCTCTGGTAGCTCACCAACTGCAAGGAGCAGACTGGTGCAATATAAAACACATCTCATTTCCAACATAACACGCTTCATACCCCTAATGTTATTAGCTTTGTTGTGTATTATAAATTATGACAGTGTGTGGTTCACAGTGATGAATGCTAAATAAAACTTGTCGCGTGGAGAAGAGTGCAACATTTACTGCAGCCATTTAATTTGGATGAAATCGATCAGTTATGTCAGCAACAGAATCTTTCCTTCTTTTAATGAATACAGTGATTTGTGAAAATACAAGGATATTTTAGTGGATATTATTCATGAAATCATATATCTATTAACTTAAATGTCCTCCTGAATTCTCTCACATTGCGAAAATGCCATCAACTCAAAATATGAAATAGGCTGTACCCTGTATTCTCATGTAACCTGCACAGCACTTTTTCCTCTTGGAGCAAGAAAGCTGGCTTTGCAATGAACTAATGAACTTAATTATGGCAATGCTCATTAGTCAGAAAGGGACACAACAATTATGTAAAGAGACACTGTGCTGGTCATGAGGAAGTCAGAATATACTGGAGATTTTTTCAGTCCTCCAAATAACCACTAGAGGGAGACAGAATATGCAGTGAAACATGTACACCTACAGAAATAAACTTTCAGTATTTCAACTCTCTCCCTCCTCTTTTTCCCTCTCTTATTTTTAATCATGCTTTTACTTCATTTTGTTGTTGTCATATAGATTCCATTACTGCCTCACTGCAATTTGAAACTTAAAATGATGCTGTTTAGCTTTCCCTATACGTTGGTTTATTATGGAGTAATAAAAAAAAGGAATGGCAATATTTATTTCAGAACGTAATATTGTGGTTGTGAGACATACATTGTGGTTAGTGTGATTAATGAGTCAAAGCAACAGAGCGGCCCCATTTCACCCACAGAGGGGCTCCAGCCCTGGAAGTCTGCAGCTGTTGCAACAGTAGGATTTGTGTTTGTTAGGGTGAAATCTGCCTTCAGTGAGAAGAAAGGAAAACACCACCAACCCTCAAGGAATCTGTTGGGGTTCTGTTTTGAAAGGCTATAACTCAATCTGTAACTGCATAATAGCTTTACCAGGTCCAGGAACATTTTTTTTAAATCTACAAATACAGTAGCAGCTTTAACTCTAGTTTTTGTTTTATAAAGTGAAATCCCAGTATGTATATCCTCCTAAATCTGAGATGTATGCACGTTAAAAGACATTTTACTGATTTTATCACCTGCTGGCAGAAAATTGTAAAGGTATAGTTCAACAAAAATGACATAAATCCTATGGAAATGTAGCCACATGCACAAAAGAACACATTTTTATGATAAAAGCATTAAATATTAATAATATAATGACCATCATGAGTCAGTTACGCTTGAAGACTAACATGGCACTTGCTAAATGAAGATTAATAAAGCGTGGACCTGGGAATCTTTAAGATGGAAACCTGCCTTTATATGTAACTGTAGATTTGACAGCTAGGATCCTCACACTTGATGTTCTGTGCTGTGTTGACAGCAGCCTCCTAATTGGGTCTCAAATCAGCACCACAGACACTGTTGCGTAAATGAGTCACCCCCTCTTTAATCTCTATAGAAGGGGAAAATAGGAGAGAGGGTACCTGTTCCCCCCGCCTCTGTCCCCCTCTTTTCTTATGTTAATGGGGGTGCGGTCCTCGATCCCGGAGACCATCTGCCCTTCCTCAGGGTTTGGGCCCCAAGCACTCCAGACATGTCCCATTGTTTGTGTGTGTCCATGCAGAAAGTGGTGAGTACACACGGTTCTTGTGGCCCACAAGGCTCCTCCATCAAGAGTGCAAGCCTGCTGTTCACTAGAATACATGTGACAGAGCTCGCGTGCCCCGTGTGCAGCAACATTAGGGCGTTCCAACCATTTGTTGTGCTGCGAGTCAAGTTCAGATTCAATGTGGGGTGTCATTGTAAGTAACCGTCGGCTGCGGGATGACTCGACAGGTCACCATGCTATTTTGAGTGTCTTTTTGTATCAGTACTTTGTTCCAAAGATACTGTTGTAATTTAATGTCACACTTAAATCAAATTAAATATCACAAGAACAATATGCATCAAACACAACAATAGTAAACACAAGGTTTACGTTAGTGTAATAAGACAATTATTTCATGATTTTCATTGTTACAGATACACTGAAGGTAGAGGATAAACCAGTATGGCTTTGTTGACATGCATCATCCCCCACTGAGCTTGGTCAAAATTGGGTGTCTGTGACGTGACAGATGCACAAATCAACTGAACGATAGAGACCGAACTGTAGATGGCCTTTCTCGATTTCATTATTTTGAGGGACAATAAAATGACAGAACCAAATGTCATCGTGCAGTATTGGGGAAGAATAATTGCAAACGTGCCACAGTAACCTTTGATGTAATTAGTTTGATCGCAAAGCAAATTATTCAGCAGATGTAGGAAAAGGGACTTGACTAATAAATGTAGCAAATATTCAAAGACACATTAAGTAAATGTGCAGAACACGCTGTTGGAAAATTGTTAAAAAGGGTGTTTCCTTTTTCAAAACTTAACAATCCAAATACATCAAAATATATACAAATATAAACATAAACTGGTCAGAGGGTCATGGGGCAGATACATGGGGACTGATATATAGTGTGTGCAATCTGGTGGAGATCCAAATAAAAATCTAGATCTAGTGAATTTAAATGTGGTGTCATAAGGTCGCTGTCGGGCCTTGGTGAAGGTATGCACTTTAGTTTTTGTTTTTTTGTTCGGTATTGTAATGCCGATCAGTATTCAGTCTCTGACCCTATCTATGAATCTTCATGTCAACTGAAATGGCACCCAGCCGGTTGGCAGACAGCAGTGACGAGCAGATTATGACTTTCCATCGGACCTGCCCTGCTCATTTTCAAAGCTGCATGCTGCTGGCTGCATTGAAATTAGTTATTGAACTGTCCGAGCAAAGGGAAACAAGGCCGCTTCAGACGCACAGCACACAATAAGCCAGCTGTCAGTGGGAGGGGCCTGTTCAAACCAGTGTTGTCATGGATAGTACTTTAGTGCTGCCTTTTCCTCCGAGAGCTGATAGGTGATCCTGTGTTAGGCCGTCATGCACTGACTGACTCTGACACAAGGCCCGATTTACAAGGGACAAGTGAGCAGAGTGAAAGAGAGCAGCAGAGAAATATCAGTCTAAAGTGAATATAAATACTCTGTATGGGCTCTGAATGTCCACA